GTCGAGGGAATAATCAAGAGTGACGGACAACGATATGGGTCGTTTTCCTCGAACAAATGTATCACGGTTCAAGATATTTGTTTTTGTGTTATTGGTTAATATTATATGGAGGGAAATTTTTCTTAAGTCCGCTTGCACATATATGTTATAATGAAAAATCCTATTTGAATTGCAGTGTAACTTTTGTTAATTGCAGCAGTACTGAAAGGCTATGAGATTAATGAGTATGATACATACCACTTATGAAACATCAACAATGGTAATTTGTTGTGGAAAATAAAGATGTGAGTCACATCAATAAAATAATGTTTATGAATTGATTCTTATGAAAGCTTAAACAACAATCGCGCGTTATCGATTGAAGTAGTAACGACGGTGATGATTAATTAGTACGTGATATGTATTTTGTCTCATTAAAATCAGATCTTTTACTCCGATATGATATCTCTCTCTGCGCGAAGGTATCGTACCAGAGTAACGCTGATAGGATCATTGTATATAAATGTGTTTGGTTCATGATGAATACATGTTCTTATCTGAAGGATGCCATCTTATGACCGATTGCTAACTGCAGAAAAAAATTCAAGCACTCTCTCCAGTGATTGAACAGGACTTCGAAGTCAGTAATATTATATCAGGCATTTACGGGGGTAATGACTCGATTCCAGCGGCTTGTAGTTGTATGAGACTAGTGTTTTAGAAATGTCTGTTTTCTACAACGGTGTATAAATAGAGCGAAGGTCGGTGTTTTGTTTTGTTCCCGAGTTAATCGATAAGTTTGTTTTAAACCAGCTCTCCTCAGTAAAAAAAAATCTTTAATCTTGAGATGACTGACGACAGCTGCAATTCGAAGGCGTTTTACTGCTTCAAGATCAAAACGGATTATATGAATTTTTCTCTATTCCTAGTGTTGTTCGTTTGAAAAAGAAAATATCTAGATTATATTTCGGGAGCGGTATTCAGAAAGCCAGACCAACTCATCATTTTACTTGCGACACTCAAATATTATCAGATCTGAAATTATTTAAAAAAACCTAAAACAATACTATATTATTGTAATCTATATCGACCTAAATCTGTAAAGAGCATGTCACCGGAAACATGAGTATTTATGTTGCGGCCTAGTACATCAGAATTATCAATTTAACAACCGGATATTGATGTGTAAAGCTCGCTGGGACAGTAAGTATTCATCATCTCTGCTTTACGATGCCATTTATCCTTATATACCATTCCAACCAGACGTATTAATTATGATAATGAACATTGATTAAATATGTTCTATAACAGATAATTGTAATGTCAGTCTCACGCCGAACCTTATCTGCCATGCCTTTCTCGCCAAGAAATGGCAAGCAGGGACAATGATCGCTTATGTAGCCTCCTGTACACCAGACTACTAATATGATCAAGAAAGCTTCTTTTTTTGTCTAAATGCTTGCTTTGCTAGGGTAATCCTGCCCAGTTACGCTCAGTGTGGTAGTCAGTGAAACCGCAGCCTCTGGCATAGTTCCGAATCTCCAATAAGACAAGCTTGGTGTTTACACAGCCTTATTTCCAGACGAGCTAAATTCCTTACACCTTCTTGGTAGTAATACGTGTTGTGTTATCCGGTGTGCGGCTAGATGGATTAAGTCCTAATTTATCGTGTTTGCTTGGATCGAACATATAAGTTACATGATCATGTTTACGAGATATGTGGAGAAAGTAAACGCCCGGGCTATCACCACCGTTGTACTGTAAACAATAACCGACAATCTCCCACATAAATAAAAACACTCGCAATATAATAGTGATTCAGACAGACAGACAGACAGACAGACACGCACACACACATATACATACGCGCGCGCGCGCGTGTGTGTGTGTGTGTGTTTGTCGGTTTTACACCGCACTCAGCAATATTCCAGCCATATGACGGCGGTCTGTAAATAATTGAGTTTGGACCAGACAATCCAGTGATTGACATCATGAGCATAGATCCACGCAATTGAGATCGATGACATGCATCAACCAAGTCAGCGAGCCTGACCACCCGATCCCGTTTGTCGCCTTTTACAGCAAGCATGGGTTGCTGAAGATATATTCTACCCCGTAGTTTCACGGGTCTATAGATACATGTAATAGTGTTTGTTGTTTAACGCCGCACTCGCCAATATTCAAGCTGCATGACGACAGTCTGTATTTTGTCGAGTCTGGACCAGATTAACGTCACGAGCAACGATCCTCGCAAGCGGGACATTTATGGTCACACACGTAATTTACATAGATATGCTCATTAAATAAATATATAATAAACCAAGTAACATGTGCAATTGTTGTCAGTGGTCTCTTAATGGTGACCTTATATTTGCACTTGTACCAGCCGTACATCACTGTTCAAGTTGGTACTTAAGTGTCTGCTATACACTGCAGCTTCTAAAGCAAGGAATGTCGTCCCGATCGTTAGTTCTATAGCAATAGCATGTTCCATCTCATCATGGGTAAGTCGGGAAAGCCCTGAAAGCATGCTATCCGGTTTGCTCACAGTAAACTGCTATGGGTCTCGAACGAAAATCATGATGGTGTGATGTTGGTACACCCGTATTCAAAATATTTCCTCTGTAGCCGAGACGTGAGATCAGTCCCTGCCCCACAGTGAGAAACTCGCAGTTAACCTCGGTCAACTCGCGAAACACATGTAGAAACTGACAACTCAACATCTGATCTCTTGCCGAAACGTCTGGCTAGTGAAGTTGTTATTGATGTAGGGTGGGTCATTATAGTGTGAATGCTATTTTAAAAGTACTGATATTGCGTTGTATGAAACAACACGTGACACCAGTATGCATTTTGACCACTTTTATATTAAAATCTGAAGTATCACGTGATATTGCTTGTTTATTGTTTCACGCCACTCTCAGCAATATCCCATCTTTGTGACGGTGTTCTGTAAAATATCGCGTCTGGACCAGATAAACCCGTGATTGGCGTCATGAGCAACGATCCAAGCAATTGGGATACGATAATATAATGCAATAAACCATGCCACCGAACCTGGTCATCTTGATCTATTTAGTCGCCTCTTTTGACAAGCAAATGTTGTTGGGGGCCGATACTTATACCAAGAATTCATACGGGTGTATCCTAACACTGGAATAAAACAGAAGCATGATATTATTGATATAACGTTGCTGTAACATTCTAAAAATACAAAAAAAATACGTTGGCATCTTTATCTTTTCTTTTGTGTTTAAAGAAATATTGAAAGTGTCAAACATGTCATGACTTGTGTGCATACTATTGAGATAAATGTTCATTTAACCACCCTTATATGTGAGAGAATGGTTTATCTTTAATGATATAAATTCCGAAGTGAGAAAACATTTTAATTCAGATATAGGCATCATGGTATTAGATGCTGTAGGCTAGGCGCAAGTGCAAACAACATGTCATCAAAGTCCCGATCTGTTGCTATTTCTTTATAATCATGTATATTTGCATATAGGAGGATATACAGGTCTAGCAGACTCTGTTTAGATAAGACTTGACAGGCATATGGGATGTAGTAACTGTCTCACGGCCAGATCTAAACTGTCTGTCTCTCAACGTGTCAAGTACGGCCATGTGGCCCACACGTGAAGTCTCCCGCACCCGTCAATACACCGAGATTACAATCAGATCTTCCGACTAGATCGTTGTGAATTGTGCTGTAGTTTTACTAAGTAAATAGCAGGACCTGCTTAGAAGCTCGGGGCACTCTGTGTACCTGATACCAACTGACCTGTTTCCTGACAATCGTTGATCATGGCATTTCTCAAAGTGTGCATCTGTCTTGAAATAGTATGATTGGTTTAGGAACCATTGACTGAAGGTTTGATTTGGTTAGTCGTAGCCAGTTGGGGGGACAGGGGGGGGGGGGGGGGGGGGGCAAGTGAAACCTGTACAAATATTTGCCCCCCCCCCCCCCCCCCCCCCCCCCCTACATGGAAGTTTATCAAGTATAATCAGTGTAAGTGCACATGTGTGTTGGTAAAGTAATATTGAGATTTGAGGGATGAAGCTTAAACTCCACGTGCTTGTTTCCATAAATAGTAGCACTTGAATTTGTACAAGACGTTCGAGTCCGATTTTCAATACTTTTCATCCATATTAAAAAAACTATTTATTATTGTTTATCTAACACATCCATGGCTTCAGGCTTTCCTCCAACATTACCCTGACACGCCGTGATATAATGGGAATACTGTTCAGATTGGCGTTAATCCCTCTCTCACTCTTTATTATGTGATGGAACTTGGTATGAATGTAGCTGTAGTTCCACAGCTGTAGCTGCACTGATTTTTGCATTTGCTAATCGCGGTTTTCATATTTTGTGCGGAAGGCTGGATGTAATCGAACATCTGCTTGTTTGTCATATGTTAGCAGAAGTTCATTTATGAAAGCTGAGTGGTTAAAATGAAAGAGGACTTTGTCCTATTTTTTGTTGGTCAGAGTTCACAGTATCTTGTCAATAGGTATGTTGTTGAACCTGCTTCGATCAGTGTCTTGGATTTTGTAGTTCATGTGAGGTTAGGGCAAGCTTTTTCCTAAATAAAGTCCAAAAATGATTATACTAAGTAGCGGTTTCAGGCAGGTGTATGTGAGCTACATTACATCTTTCGTTTTCGCGTCTATTGGTCCCAATATGAATTTACGTGATGATGTAACTATTGATTTTCTTCGTGTCGTCATGCCGTACGCCCACACAGATACCATCTTTGAGAATGAAATCATGATATAAGTGCGTTTAATTCAAGCAGAGGTATTAGAATTTAATCTGATTCCAGCGATGGAATTATATCCGCTGACGTCCTCGGCCTGCTTTCACCGACATCTCCGCCGGCACCTGGAGCGCACAAACATCCTCCATAAAATATTCAGTTTTAATCAGGAAGCACCAGTTCTCGGTGCATGTTTTCATTGCCTGGTAATTATCTTCTGTATGTCAAAAATTATGGTTTTTCGAATTTATTTTTCAGGTTATTGGCTTCTGTGTTCCCAAGCAACGGTATGATGGTGACAGCAACACTGCCGTTGTCATGGTTACAGAACTAGGAGAGACAATCGACCTGATCAAGCTACTACAGTTATCATGGGAAGACCGACTGAGGGTATGTTCCTGTTACATTTATAATTGCTGTATGTGTGCAGGAAGCACCCCGATATTCGGGGAGTTTGCTTGTTGAGTTGGACAAGGCTTACACTGGTTCAATATCACATCATTTACGTGAAGTTATTCATGAAAACCTTCGTTTGTAGGGTATAAATCAGGTGTTCCCATTTTAATACTGTCGTACTTCATTTTTTCATATTACGGCATTTTTAGTTTTTGATAATATATCCATATAAAAAGCACACGTTGTATTTATTTGTGACTAACTGACTCAAATCCGGACCGCCACTGGGTTAGAACGGGGTAATACTATAGCAATATAGTGATTGTCGTTGGACCAGGCGGTCAGACTCGGTTATGGTACCAAGACGTTTCTGGTTTTCAGGCCCGGAGCCGATTATTTACAGGCCGTCAGGATTCAGTTGGAACATTGCTGAGTGTAGCCTACAACAAGATTTGTCATGTATGTAGAGGTCTACACTTGTTGCATTCACAACGGCTGGCCACCCTGAAATACACATCTTCCCGAGGCAGAGTGTTAACTGACTTTAAAATTCCAGTTTTCACCTTAGCCGAAGCGTGTCCCCCGCCGTGATATTGCTGGAATATTGCTAAGCGACTTAAAACCATACTCATACTATTTCTGGGCTCGATCGTAGCGCCACCAGTGGCTATTACAAGTTGAGTCCCTTCTATGCCTCGCCTATGGACCAATCAGATTCCACCTCTCGTATCACTTGCATTTGCTTCAAACAAGACGATCTGATCGATATTCAAGATATATATTGTGATAAAAGGAGTCTTACATTGCGAAGTTCATCAAATCACGTGAGCACCTTGATTAAAAACATGAAACGATTTTGAAAAATATCTGTTGACAACGAATTAGCGGTGCAAATGCTGTGCAAATCCTGCAATCGACCGAAATCTTAATGACAGTTTACGGACCGGATTTTGATTTCGTTGCGAGATTGTGATTAGACTATACATAGACTCGTTCGTCCAGCCATAATGTAATTCCATAATACCATTCTAGTTCCGCAAGGGGGGAAACTGGACTTTTATAGTCAGTTTACTCACTTGCCTTGGGAAGATGGAAATACATGTACATGGCAACGCTGACCTTAACACACCGGAGATCTGAATGCAGTTACCCACACTTGTTTTGAGCTAATGCTTGTTCTTACCCTGTCTTAGTCATGCAGTTTGAAATATTTGGGGAGAAGTGATGTATAGTCGTTTAACAGTCTGGGATGAGTTGATATCAATGCGTGTTGCTTTTGGTAATGGTTCAGATGTACGTACAAAGTAGCTATATTTTATAAACAATACGAAAATATTCCGAGTATTTTGTTTTTTTTATTGCCGAGGGTTTTATGAAATATAAAACATTTAAATCGCCGCAGTTGAATGTATTTTGGTTCGATTAAAAAGTTACATGCTGTTCTGTAAACCGGTCTTTAGAAACGAATGTTTAGAATGGTCTTTAATTGAGGTAATCCATAAATGCAACCAACCACTTGTTCTACTATGGTGAATACGTCGGATTCTTTTCATGGACATTCAAGATCAAGCTCCGCTCTCAAAATGAAGTATATTAAGTTTAATGTTTCTGACAGACGGCATTTAGCCATGAAAGTCTGCTGTTATTCTGACACCCAAGCAAGTTTATTATCGAATCATTCTGTCTAGCATGGTAGCAGACGATCTATCATCCGGAAATTTATTTAAGGCAAGATGGCGGCCGGTGGAAATGATTGATATGCAGTGATTCTGTATCTAAAATCCATTAGATTGCACGACCTCTTTTCCTTTTCCGTGGCCAGATCTACTCTTTGATGCATCAGTCCCTTATTTTTCTATCTTGGGATTTCGATCAACTCGTCCCCAGGTACTCGACCCGTAACTCCGTCACCCAATTTCTGCTAGGTCTGAAGCAGGAAACAACATATTCAAAGAAAATGTCCTGTCATGCATTTCCATCAACCTTCGCCTTAGATGTGGACAAATTACTTGCCTAGATACTCGAGATTTGTCAACAGAGCCTTTGATAGAGACGTGATTATACAGACTCCACTGTCAAAGGGGAAATAAGGGTGACGAGACTTGCCATCTTGGAAATAATGATGGAAATTTTGGTGAAATTAAAGAGATATTCGATCTTTGATGTCGTGTTCTTTGATGTAAGAAAATGAGAGAAATTAGACTTGAGTTTTTGACAGGTAATGATGACTGCACGGAGAGCACACCGGTAGCGTATTGATGGGATCTCTTTATAGGTAGGGATATCAAAGATTTTCCATTTAGCCAGTCTAGCCTGTTTCTGCATTCACAGTACATGTATATGTATATATAGAAACAGCACAAGATTACTGTCAGCGGTCAAGAACGTGTATGCAGAGGGTTGTAGACATCAGCGGAAACCTAGTTAACGTGGACCGTTATACGAATTGTGTCAGCGGGATTCCATGTACTTCCATTATATTTTAAGAAAGATTCAAGTTTACCCTCTAATAGTTTGATGAACGCACTGACAATATAAAAAAATAACGAGAACATTCTTTTGAAAGTCTAACTTTAAAGGGGAGGTAGCTGAGGGGCCGACAGTGTGTTGGGTTTTAGGTCGGATTTGTTTGATATTCTGTTTCTTGAACTTACCTTTCACGTGTAAATAGCAACCTCCTGAATAATATACTTCAACACTTCTTGTATTATCGCCAACGACATGTTTATAACCGACGCTGTGGTCCTCAAAACGGCGTTATTCAGCGTTTTACTGTTGCTTGATCAGACGCAGTAAGTCAGGCTAAACAACGACGTCCACCATTCCTATCAACTTTTTCTTATTTGGGTAAGAAAGGATTTACGAGGGAGGAGATAACACACGATAACTATGTGTATATTTACGCTGGCGTCGCCCCTACTGGTCGTAAATCCAGGCTGAGTAGCTGGTATGGCGCTCTGCTTCGGGGCTGAATATGCCTATAAATTCACCCGTAATTACCAACATAACGGTTACGATTTTGATTCCGGTGAATATAAATCAGAGGCGCGATAAAGCCAGGAAAGCCAACATCTGTGTGACGACTATATAAACGTAATCTCCCGCCAGCTTGGGGAATAAGTCTGTTTATGCACACGATGGGCTTCTTTCAGCTACGGTGGCCTGTATGGGATAAAATCTTTTAATGCCGATGACAACGATTAGAAAAAGCAAGATAGTGTTGTGCCGAACATATGACAAGTCGATTATTTCAAAACTATATGTAAAGAAAAGACATTCGTGTGTGTGGGTGGGTGGAGAGAGAGAGAGAGTTTATCCTCAAATCGTCATGTCTACAAAGAGAAGGTCCCTCATCTTTGTTTTCCGCAGTAACTTATAAGCGGATGGGTAAACTTTATATATGACGCCGGTCTGTAAATACTCAAGTATGGAGCAGACAATCCAGTGATTGACATTATGAACATCGATCTACGCAGTTGGGATATGAGATGCATCAACCAACTCAGCGAGTCTGACCCCCCGAACCCGTTCGTCGAAACACATGACGATCATAGGCGCCTCTTGTGTTACATTGCAGGCAGGATTTTTCGGCCTTAAAAATCAATGGGCGCACTTGCTGTTGACTATGTTGAACGGTTGGAGATATACTACCGACAGAAAATAAGAGAATTAAAGATGTAATGACGATAAATGTCTGTAAAATATATTTCAACATGTGGTGTGTCCACCATGTTGGGCGATACACACACGACGCCTTGATGGCATACTGTTGATTAACTTGTGTTTGGTTGCACTTTGTATTGCCCGCCATTCCGCTTGAAGAGCTACCGTCCCACACCATGACACTGCCGCCCCCATACCGATCATGGCATACCACTCGCCGCTACGTCGCCAACAACGTTCTTTCTGCCATCCTACATGACGCAAAACCTTGATGTGTCTGTAAACATTGTTGTGCAATGAATGTAATGAGGCGATCTAACCTAGGTCTCATTGCAACCCCACCCGTTGGACAGCACTTGTCCCACAGTCAAGAAGTTACACTTTCGATTTGCCAAACATTCAGGCAGCTTGGGATGCTAACGTGGAATATGTGATACCTCTATTATCAGTATAAGAGTGCACAAGATGCCCAGAGCATGATCTACGGAGTCGTCGCCCCCATTATGATCATTGGAGTGTGGGCACCATAACGATGCTCGTGGTTTTTCATCAATGTGATAGAAGTCTACCATGTGCGTTGTGCTTTCCTCCCTCCTTATGCCAACACGCCATGTCACTGTATATGTAATACTCTTCAAAGCGACGAAAGAAAAACCCAGCTCATGCCTTATTTTCAGTATATACCTTGGAGTTTTTGATTATTTGAGTCAGGACAATTGAAGGTATCACCTTTACCTTCACTCTGTTAGAGGAAACACCCCCGGGGACGTAGGTATATCTGGTGGGCACATCGTTCAGCAAGGTGCGAGTTGTTAGCGGGCTTGCGATGACAGCTACAACACACAGGGAACAGAACATGGCTATTCTCAGGCGAGCCTTGTGCTGGGAAAACGCGGCATGTTAACTGAAAGAAGCGACGAGGAAGCGGTAACCTTATCAGTGTACGTGTGTGCAGGACCATGGGTGTAATACATAGGAAATGGAGTGCTAAGTCATTTAACAATGTTCCCCCACCACTGTTATCTGCGGAGGGCAAAAAAAATTGGGAGAAAGAAGAACTGGAAATTCCCTCAACGATCAGCTAATCCGCGATCCGTCAGCGCAGTTTCCTAATCTATTTACCAGTTCCATGTTGAACACGGGGAATCCATTCTGACGTCGTATTGGGCGTTTGAATCAACTGCAAATGGATTTCGAATAGACCGACGATGTCGTCTGCTCTGAATGGCCGTTGACTGACAGCAAGAGAGAGAACATTGTTCTCTACTCGTGTCGTCTGTTCCGCAAGGGTTGCTGGGTAATTGGCGCCTAATGAGCCGTGCATCATGCGA